GAGATTTGAACAGCCGAACTGCAGTCAGCTGAAGTAGCCTGCAGTGCTGCATTTAACCACTGCACCACCTCGGCTCTTTATACTGTACTCTTTTCAACTCCTTCCCCATAAATAAATTCTGGTGTTTCATGGTTTTAAAACAACCAATTAGGCTGAAATCAATAATATGCTTCTCCTGACAGAACGTTTGCAAGAATATAATGAAGGATGATACAACCCGCCCCAAGATAAAGTTTCATATAATTTTTGAGTTATTGTTATACTATACTAAATAATAGACAGGCCTTGTTTGTTTGGTAACCTACATACCATATCACACAGGAAAAAAACGTTCGTTAAGTAATTATCCTTCCAGCAGAATTGATCTCTATGACATAGCTCTTTGATTTCATTACTCTTGTAAATCAAGGCTGCAGAGACAATGTTTAGCCCTAAACATTTATAGTCTGGTTTGCAGAACAGGTCATCTTATCTCCCAAATATAATTACCATTGACTTTGGAACATTCAAGACCGACTAAATCTAGGAAATCTTATTATGGCCAAAAGATTATGATTTTAATAACAGGAAATGCAGCAGAAGCTATTTTTTTTGTGAAATGAATGAATGGAAGTGTGTCTCTTTGTATATTTACTAGTTATTTATTCCTGGATATTGTCTGGAATGCAAAACCTGATTGATCTGCTGAAAAGTGATTGCGCTTTCCAGAACGTGTTTTTCCTTCTTCAGGATTATAGCCAAGGAAAAGGAGGGTCTTGAATCCATTTGAATTTGGGTTTGGGATGAATGGGAAGGAGAACAAGTTTGCATTTTGTCAAGGTCTTTGTGACCTTCCTTTTTGAAAGTGATGATGGAATATATTTAATTTTAAATATATTAAAGAATGGACTTCTTCACCAATGAATTTTATCAAGGTAAGCATTTCTTTCGTGAATCCAGACTGCTGCTGAGTATTCATGATGAACAAATGGTAATCCTGATTATCATTATCTAGTCAAATTGTTCCCCAGTGCAGCAAAATTGTCTCCCTGCTCCTAGTTTACCTGTCTGAATGTGTGCCTGTCTAACCCTCCCACTACTTATGAAATTCTGGAGGCTTCTAGATCTTTCTATAGAGAACATGCAGCCCTCCAACCCTAGCCTCAAATCCCTACCCTTCCCTGCATTAGGGCAAGAATGCTATGCCAAGCACGAGTTAGTATCTTTATAATGCCACATTCAATTCTACATTCCACATGCTGCAATACATCGGCTGAATTCATATGAACAATGTGTTGGTGAATTTTCACTGGCTGCAACAAAAAACTGAGACAAAGACGAAATGTTAAATAAAAGATCCAACCTTTATTTAAAATACAATGCATTTGTACATATGTCTTGGACTACTGAAGACAACACTGATTTTATCCCTTGGTGTTGGGGGATCTCTGGGGGCTAACAATCTTCGAACGAGACACCCCCTCCCCAGACTCAAGGCAACAAAGTAAATTGTTGTTAAGGGCTTTGTGGCACAGCTGTAACAAAATCAGAAACTTAACTTACATTAAAAATATACTGTAAGGCTAATATATTTGATACTATTGCGATTCCTCCTACTTTGGCTTGTGAGGCTAGCTTTAAAAGAAAAACCTGTACACATTTATAAAATTTGTGTTTTTCTTTTTACATTAGTTACATAAAACAAAACAAAAATTCTTATACTTCATAGACCTTTACTTCATATTGTTATGAAAAGATTTTGCATATCATCTTAGATAAAGAGTGGCTATGCTGGTGAATACTAAAGGTGTTTGTAATACAATATAGTGTTAAAAAAATACAGAGGACAGGAAAGAGCACAGACATGATTATCAAAGGGGAAAACAGATACGTTTGGAACCAAATTTGCCAGTATTTGTCAAGGCCACTCAGGCTAGCTTTTACAAAAAAACCTTCAGGCTCCTACAAGAGACCTGATTATGTCTTAAGAATTCAAGTTAGTGCTTCCAGATGTCCTAGACATCAACTCCCAATATCCAAATCAGAACGCTTGGAATTCTGGGAATTGTGGTACAAGACATCTGAGGAACAGCAATATGAGAAAGGCTAATGTAGTGTGAAAAAACATATGGGATAAAGGACACAGTCCACCAAGCACCATGATGCACAAGAGAGCCCAGGGACAAACCCCACTAAAATATATGGGGGAGAAGGGAAGAGGGAGGGGGGAGGAGGGAGAGAGAGAGTGGGGGGAGGGAGAGAGGAAAGAGAGAAGGAAGGAAGGAAAGAAAGACAGAAAAAGAAAAAGAAAGAAAGAAAAGAAAAGAAAAGAAAAGAAANAGAAAGAAAGAAAGAAAGAAAGAAAGAAAGAAAGAAAGAAAGAAAGAAAGAAAGAAAGAAAGAAAGAAAGAAAGAAAGAAAGAAAGAAAGAAAGAAGAAAGAAAGAAAGAAAGAAAGAAAGAAAGAAAGAACCTTCCTGGATTGCACTCCAAAAATTTTACCTTAAACATAGGAAGGAAGAACACATAATTACAATATATATAAAACCTCATAAAACATGCATTAAACATGATAAATACACTTCATATAGATTAGGCCCTGGGTATCTAAATAGTTAAATGGCTTTAGAGTTTTAATTTTGTTTTAAAAATGATTTGGTTAGCTTACATTTGTCAGAAATTAACCTGATCAGCCCCTCATTTTGCTGAGAGAGGGGAAAAGAGGCACAAACTTAGGCATGGCATGAGCTGTGTTTTGGTTTTGCGTAGCAGATTAACGGAAGCGCTGTTTAGCGCAGGTAAAAATGTATCTGCTAATGCAAGTTTCCATATTAAAAACAAGAAAAGATACACTTCAAGCTTAATTTGATTAAGCAGCATATTTCCAAGAACAGCTTTTGAGTTAAATATTAATATCACCATTTAGTTTATGTCAGTAGAACAGGCAGTCTCATCCAACTCACACCCAGCCGCTGGTGAGCTTGTAGAACATCTCTTCATCTAAGCTTTCGTTCTGATCTTTTGCACGTGTCGACAGGAAAATGTAGCCACCAATGAACTCATGCACCACTTTGCAATCCACTTCCGTGCAGATGAAAGATAATCGGACTTCATCTGCAAATTCTACAGTCACCTAGAGGTGCAAGAAATCCAGCCAATGATTTATAAAGCTTCAATACTTTCACTAAGCTCACATGGAGATAAGAATAAATATACTGCAATAAATATAAACCCGGAGCAGCTTCTGTCCTTGCCCAACCTGAAGAAACAGGAGGGTTGGTGTGTGAAACCATCAATGTTTGCAAAGATATTCGAACTGCAAAATTATAGTTAATCATATATAGATCAGATCATGGCACTGAACGACGAATGAAAGTTGGTACTAACAAAGCCTACCCAGTTTGAATGGCTTGGCAAATTGTGGTGTGAATTCTGCCTAAGAAGAAGGTTCATGTCCACAGGAGATTGAGATGTAAAGCCAAAAAAGGAACTTTATTGTTTTTTGATGACCAGAGAGATTTAATCGCAGGGAAAACTGCAGTCAGTGTAACCTAGCAATCAAAAAGGAAATCCTTGCTTTGAAGCTGACTTTTAAGTCAGTTCTTTCAGGCTGCTGTTTACAAGATTAATAATGTTATTAATGTTAAACGGTATGTTCAACACTTGAAATGCTAAATACCATTATGTTATTATAGCCCAGGAGCTGGATCCGGCCCATGGGGTGCTTAGATCTGGCCTACAGGGCCACCCTGGAAAAAGCCTGTGATGTGTCTGCTAGCGAAAATGAAATTTGGAAGAGCCATGTGCATTTTTGCTGGCAGAGGGTTGCAGGAGGCAGTCACAGTCGAAAATAGGACTTGGGAGCCTGTTTTCTCTAGCAGATTGCTTGGGCCGCCACAGGCGCCCCCAACACGAGTGATGTCGAGCTTGCCATGCCCACCCTGGCCACACCTTCTTCGATCCCTGCATCCGACAACCCTGATGCGGCCCTTAATGAAATCGAGTTTGACCCCCCTGTTATAGCTGAAGGTAGCCTTCTGGATTCCACAGGTTACTGTAAATTATAGGATCAGACCAGTGGTGGGTTACAGGCGGTATGCCCCGGTACAGGCGTATTGGAGCCTGCCCGGAGCACCGGATACCGGTACGGTGCTCCGGAGGGCCCACCTGAGCTCCTTACTGGTCTGAGCAGCTGGAGTGTTGCAGAGGCGCTAAGATGCATGTGTGTGCTGCGCGCATCCATGTGGACGCCGTTGGGCCCGTTCCAACCATTCCGATTTGAACAGGATCCGGAACCCACCACTGGATCAGACTCATTTCTCTGAGAGGCAATTCCTCTGACTATATCTTTTCTTATGATTACCAAGCTAGAAGGATTTTGAGCAGCTTTCTATTTCATTAGTCAGATTTCTTATCAAAGGAACACCACATCCTTCAACAAGACACGAACTGATTAAATGGTCAAATCATCAGTTAGTAAGTGCTGTTTCTATGGGTCACATGAATTCTTTTATCTACCAAGTTCTGGATTTCCAAAATGTTATCTAAGAGTGTGATACAAGAAGGTCTTTCTTTACTGAGAACAACACTGTTTTTTGTGAGTTGAGAAAGATCGGGATGTTATGCTCTTCTTCCCATTTCTTTCTTCATAACAAAACAAAGACCCATAGTCAGCTTCACAATTAAGAGGGGCTACTAATAGATAAGAGCTTGTTTTGGCTTTTTTTTAAAAAAAAGAAAGAAAAAAGAAAGGAAGGAAAGAAATAAAGAAAGAAAGGAAAGGAAGGAAGATTAAAAAAAGAACAATACCCAAGAAATAAAAGTAAAGACGCTACCAAAGCCTGAAGGCAGAAATACTATCTCATACCTTAAACAACATACATCAAAAATGTCAGTGAACTGAAATATCTCAGATTTCAGCAGGACCAGAAAACTTTGTGGGAAAGTCCTTGCTTACCATTTTGATTTCCCAGTTCACATTCCACTGTTTCATATTGCTGAACCGCCATGTCTTGATGGCATCACTGGTGCTGGCATCCATCCGTATCAGCCGGTTGTAGGCAATTCCAATAAGTTCTTCCTTCTTCCCACCTTGGAACCTGCATTTTTTGCATGTTACAAGGAACATCTTCAGCAATGTTTTACTCAAGTCCCCCAATGATAAGGCATTCAAGAACAATTGGCCTTCTGAGACACTGTTTCCCTGTGTGTGCATTCAAATGGCCTTGAGTGACTGTAACAGGAATAAGTCTTAGGCAAGCTTTCGGCTTCTGCACAACTAGTTCTACCTTGCTTCTGCATTAATGATAACATGACTTATCAGTCAGCCTCATACAGAGATATTAAGGAATCCTTGCTTTATTATATGTCAAACCAAGATTTTTGTTTTTTAAGATATTCTCTGTCAGGCCAAGACGTAACAAGTAAACTCCTGTCTGGTTAGACACTTGGGGAATTTTTAAACTTTTGAATTTAGATATACCAGCTGTCTCAGAAAACCATCTTTGCATTTGAAAATTGGCTCTCTATAAGATGACTCAGATCATGTACTATATTACTTTTTATTTTAGTCATTCTTATAATAAACCATTTATGAGTTATTTTTAGTTTTTTAAAAAAGATCAAAAGTAACATTTCCCCCTTCATTCAAATTGGAGTAGTAAAGCGCCCTTTACTTGCTATGCAAAATTCAATACTGGTGCACCAGTAATGGTTTCCGCTTATCTTTGCTATTGGTTCAGAACTGGGAGCATTTGTCTGCGCTTGCTTCGTGCTGTGTGTCTGTGATGACGTTTGGGCGGGTGGGTGGAGCCTGCCACCGCTACCAGTTCACCCAAACCGGGGCAAACCAGCAGAATACCACCTCTGCTGTGCACCCAATTTAATACTTTAGTAACTGCCCACACACAAACATTGACACATGGAATTTTTGACTGGACATTTATGGAGTCACAGACCTTGCAATAAAGTGTGTAATGCCAAACTCTGGTAAGGACTGCCAAGCTTGAATAAACCTCATTTTGGCTTCAATGAGGCTCATCTGAGCGACATTCTGATGGGCCTCTAAGATCCGGGCAGTGATCTGTAAGGGTGACACAAAAATACTTGAGGCAACTGATCTGAATTCCAGGCTCAATTTATAAAGGATGGGAAGGGAGGCAGACTGAAGAGAAAGCAGTACCAAGAGAGAGACCAAAAAATGAAGGAGAAAGAAGAGGTGATTCAATACTATTCAGTCCCCCTACTCCACTAACTTTAATCTGTGAAACACCTTTTCTATATTCTGTTAACTGTCAGTTTAAGATTAACTGGAGAACATTTTCTTCTATATGCACATTTCTTAAAACTGGGATTTTCAGGGGAGCAGCTGTATCAACGATATATCATATGAAATGGGAGGAAGAGGTTTCATGGGATGGAGAACTATCTGGGATTATGCAAGTTCAGCTTCTCTTCCTTCTAATGGAGAATTGGCCTTAATGTACAAAAGATACTAGAGCAAACTACAAAGATCAGCTATTTGCAGAATTAGAACTACAAAAATGGTATATGGTAGTTTAAAAGATAATGTATTCCCTACAGCAAGCACAACAACACATCTTTTTATAACAAATGTGGCAAGAATTTGGCTTCCTGAATGTTATTTAAAATATCAGGAAAACAAATTATTTTCTCCTCACTTGAATCCAGAAGAAATAACTGTGCGCATGCACATGTGTGTTTCTGGATTCAAACAGGAACATTGGGCAAATGTACCCAGTATGCTGTTCCCTTTCTTTTTCCCTATAACTGCGTTTGCATCATACTCTGAATCACAAATAGCCAAAGATATTGTAATCTAGGATGTGGTTAATCATACAAACCAAGAAAATTAGACGTTGGGCAACTCATGATCATAAGTTCATCGAAAATGCAGCATATGCCAGCACAGTCTTTGATTCTTCCTCCTGCCCATTCCATTTTATCCTTTCTGCCCTAATCCATAAAAAGCCAACTAAGTAAATTCCAGCTCCCAAACAAATTCATTTGAAGAAAATGTCTGTTCTGATAGATGGATAAATGAGTCACTGGGTATGCACAGGAAGGGGAAAAAAATCCCATTTTCATCCTCATTCTACTCTTCATCCATTCAAAAGGGTATTAATAATGCACTGAACAAGTTTTTACTCACAAAAAAAGAGCAAACACTTTCTAACAAGTAAAGTATAACCTGGCAAAGAATCTTCCTTTCTAGCAATAATTATTACAGGAGTTGGGTGTGGATTCTTTGCTCAAAACTGGCTTTCTGCCCTGAGAAATCTGAAGTTTGCTCATTGTCTGTCTCCTGCCTTCTTGGATCCAAGTAGGAAAAGGTTGGCTTCATCTTCTCTAATTACAGCTCTTCCTATTCTAACTTTCTCCTGCCATCTGCATCTCTGGTTGCCATAAAGCAAGATATTGATGGACATGCATTTACCACATGATAATCTACGAAGACGGCACGTGTTTGATTCCTAATCTCAAAATGTCAATTTTTCTTTTCCTCTGTGATGATTTTTATCGTTTTTTAATTTTTTTTAGACTATAAATGGATTGTTTGTTTATTTCTCATTGATTCCATCCCCTGGGCTAAGATTTTAAAAATTAATGTAGATTAAAAATGGTAAAAGCACAGAAGAAACCACAGGAGACACCGTATTTTTAGGAGTATAAGACACTCCGAAGTATGAGGCACCTAGCTTTTGGGGAGGAAAACAATTGGGGGGGGGGGAATCTGCCTCTGCCTCCCAGCAATTCGCCTCCTTGTAGCAAACAGCAAACAGCCCTTTTCAGATTCAGCACAGCCTAATTAGCACAAGCAGCTGATTGCCGAGAGGCCCGATGATCAGCTGTTTCATGCTGCAAGGATTGCCATAACCTATTGCTGCCTCCACACGTTCCATTTTCAGCTTTTGCATGCCCCGTTTTCGGCCTCCATGTGCCCCATTTTCCGCCCGTTCCAGGTGGCGGGGGATCAGAATGGACAGAAAATGGGATGCAAGGAGATTGAAAACAGGGTGGGCAGAGGCCAAAAATGGGGCGCATGGAGGCTGCAATAGGCAATGGCAATCCCTGCAACCTGAAACAGCTGATGGTTGGGAGGCCGATCTAACCAACAATCAGCTGCTTGTGCTAATCAGGCTGTGCTGAAGCTGAAACAGGCTGTTCGCTGTTTGCTGCAAGGAGGCATATTGCTGGGAGGCAGAGGCCAAAGGGTGGGGGCCGTTGGGTGGGTGGGGCTAAATTTAGTTTATAAGACACACCCAAATTTTCACCCTCTTTTGGGGGGGGAAGTACATTTTATACTACGAAAAATATGGTATATAAGCAATGTACTGGAGAAATAAAAATGGCTGCAAATTATAGTTAGCTCCTTTTAGGTCTTCTAAACTTAAAACAGTTGCAGCAGAACTGTCCGTTTTTCACTGAACTGCTCAGCTAGAATATAAAAATAAGTGACTCCTTTCTATCAGTCTAAAATTCTATCTAGTTGAGCATCCTGTTCTTAGCAGCAACTAATCAGATTAGTGTAAACGATTCACATAAGAAAGATATGACAGCCACAAACCTGTTCTCCACCAGTTATTTAGAATTTTGCTACCTCTGAATTTAGCAGAATTTGTTTGGCAGATAGCACTTATATATATTTAATAATTTCATGTCCCTTATCACATCTTGCACTAGGATTTCTATAATATAATATTATTATCTAATTATCTAATATAATTATATAATTATAATATAGTATAATATATTATATTATCTATAATATTATTGCATTATTATTCTATCATAATGCAATATGTGAAGAAATTTGTGCCAGGGAGCAGAAAGAAATTGAGACAAGAAGGCAACAAAACAAAAGGTGCATCACATTAAAAAACACAGCACACTTCTGTCCCAGAAGAAAAGATTAGTAGACATTGTTGAAAAAAACCAGATAATTCCATTAAGTCTTATTTACAATATTATGGCCCAAAGTTACTCCAAAATACTTATTGCTCAATATATACTTTGTCTCTTGATATGCATCTCTACAAGGTTATATTAATAAAACAGCAAAGTCTTCATGCTTGTTTATTTTAGGTTTACTGTCACTTACCAAATCTCTTATATAGCCTGGCTGCAGAGGACAAATGCGAAGAAAAGAAAAGAAAAGAAAGCAGAGAAAAAAAAAGCAATCAGAAAAATGGCATTAAAGCAAAGGAAGGAAAATGTGCAAATTATCAACAGTGAAACCATTTTTTTTTTAAAAAAAATCTTTCATGGGGAGAAAAAGTAGCAAGAAATGAATATGAAAATGGAAAAACATGTGGGGGAGGGGGAAGCAAAAAGAAGCATAGCAAGATGCTAATTCCAGGTATGCTTCCCTAACTCAGTTCCTCCAAACCAGCGTTTCTCAACCTTGGCTACTTGAAGATGGATGGCAATAGGGAATTCTGGGAGTTGAAGTCCACCCAATATTCAAGAGCCCAAGCTTGAGAGACGGTGCTCCAGACAATTTGGACTGCATTTCTCATCATTTCCATCCAGCATAACTAAAATGGTTCTTGATGGTAAGAAATCGAGATGCCAGGAAGTTGGGGAAGCTGCCCTAGAATATCTGAAAGCAATTTGTGTCTCTCTCCATGAAAAGTGACAGCCCCTTAGTGATTACCCTGGTTAACTTCATAGTTCAACAATAAGGAAGTATCGACCGCCCTCTAATCAAAAGAAAATACATTTCAGTTGAATTATCGGTTATTTCCTGATTAATATAACACACATTCCTGGATGAACTAAAATTCAGACAAAAAAATATTCCACAAAGTACAACCTCTAAGCATTTCCAGAGACTAGCCATGTGGGTCGGTTGCAGCAAGAGGCACTGGAAGTTTTATTGGGCTATAGAGATTTTCTATAGAGATATAGAAATTTCCCAGCCGGCTTGTGACAAGCAAAGTCAATGGGGGAAACCAGAGTTCCTTAATGATGTATTTTTCAGAGAAGACATACCTTTTTCCCCCAAAAAGAGGGTGAAAATCTGGGTGTGTCTTATACACTGAATACAGCATTTTTGGCCTCCTGAAACCCCACCCCCATGCATCCCGTTTTTTTGCAAAAATGGACTTGCAGAGGGGTTGGAAGGTCTGCAAAGTGCTTCTGGGGACTGGGGAGGACAAAATCAAGCAAAAAATAGGCTTTTTTGCTCATTTTTGCCCCTACCCCAGTCCCCAGGAGCACTCTACAAGCCTGCCAAAGCCAATGCATGCCCTGTTTTTTTTTTTTTCAAAAAAATAGGCCAATTTTTTGCTCATCCCCCCCCGAAGCACTTTACAGGCATCTCAAATTCTCTGCATGCCCCATTTTTCACAAAAAATTGAGCATGCAGAGGGTTTGGGAAGCCTGCAGACTGCTCCTGGGGGCCAGGGAGGGCAAAAAACTTTTTTTACAAAAGTTAGATGTAATCTGTCTTCAGGAAACCCACTAAACCCATTAAAGAAAAATACAATAACCTGTTGGTCTGTCCAAAACTAGGTAAAACATTCTGCTCGTCAGCACAAACCAGAAAAAGAGGAATTGTGATGTATATAAAAGAATGGTTGAACCCCAAATTAATACATGCAGACAAAGACGGTAGGGTATTAATGGTGGAGATAATTAATGGTGGGAAAAAAATTTTACTAGTTGGAATTTATGCCCCAAATCAAAAACAAGAGAGATTTTATATTAATCTATATAAGAGGATAAATGAAATAGAGTGGCAAAATATATGTATTCTAGGGGATTTCAACGCTATAGCAGATGGTAAGATGGACTATAAGGGTACACACAAGAAAAGTACAAGAAGGAAACTACCGTCTGCCTATGTAAATATGGTGAAGGAATTA